CAGTAAGGGCTCGTACACAAAACTGCGACGTCGCATCGCAAAAATATGCGAGCTCCCTCTACGCATCGCAAGAACTTGCGAATCAATTCGCATCGCGCATCAAAATCTTGTCTTCCCAAAATTTTCTCTGTTTCTTTTTCCTGTATCTCCTAAGCAATACCAAAAGAGCACACTTCTTTTTACGATCCATGTCACGATCTAGTTTTCAACTTAAAATACGTTTAGAAGGTACAGTTGACGGTCGTTGAAGGAATGGCCACGCTGGGAAGACGCCTTGTCGCACGAAATCTCATCGCAGCAATTCGTGTCATAATTTTCTGCGTTGCGAATTCGCATCGTATTGCATCGCAGTTTTGTGTACGAGCCCTAAGGTTTCACTTAATTATTTTTCATGGAACTTTCAGTCCATTCATGACTTGCAAGATTTACGATTTCCCGTAACTAAACTATTTAAACATACATACATCAATACAATCGTACGTATCAATGTTTTCTTAATGTATTATGTATAATTATGGATGTTATGATAAACCCTCTTATGTAGAGGAGGAACCATTCACACATACGATACAGGAAAAAATATTGTAAGTTTACTTGTAAAAACATCAATAGTATACATATAACATACTAACTTCTGCTGGTACCTTCGCCCGTACTTCTATGAGAGTAAGTTCACGTATTATTTCAGACCATGATTTCTATCCCAGTTCCAAATTTCATCCTGATTCCTTCAGCCGTTTATACGTGAAGGAGTAACAAACGAACCAACAAACAAGCAAACTTTTGCATTTGTAATATTAATAAGATCAATTTTTATATTAGATACCAAAAAGGATCCAACTTGAAGACTTGCAAGGTCATCGTCCTATAATTACTTTTGACAGTTTGAATAAAAGTATTGATTTAAATGACGGCCATCTTTAATATTAGTCATAGACATAATTTTATAAATACCATCTATTACAGTAATGGGCTAATGATCATGTAAGCAAAGTTGGTTCGAAATAGTACTAGCGTAGAGTTAGTAATTGCATAACATACCTACTTTTTTAAAAAAAGACTAGAGTAATATAGTTATAAATTTCAGCTGACATTAAATTTTGTAACGTTTTACATTGCTGCGTCCTAACTAGGTAATGTACTGAATTAGTTGTATGTAATACTTCCTATTATATGTACATTGTGCAATATGAATAAATAAATAAAATAAATAACTAATTACTGGACTATATGCTATACCTCTACGTACGAAGGTTCGCCATAATCTGTTCGCTTTGCAGTTTAGACAACTCAATATGAAACGAGAAGGCCACTGCTCGATCTCTTTCAAATCTGTAGTCCCTCAGTCGTATTTTATGATACCCACGGACGACAAAATAAATGTATATTACTCCATCTTAACCTCACAGCTTATACCACTTCAATAACGTACAACAACTATAAAGAAATTTTGACAGCACGGTTGGTACGGTGGCTGGGCAACCGGCTGCCCCGCAACGTGTGGCGGGTTCTATTCCCGCACGGAACAACTCTTTGTGTGATCCACAAATTGTTGTTTCGGATTTGGGTGTCATGTGTGTCGTGGGTGCGTACCCACAACTCAGGAAAAAAATCTAGTGTGGGGCAATGTTTAAAAAAATATATAAATAAGGTTATTAACACGTCTTTTATCCCCGAAGGGGTAGACTGAGGTACACATTACGACACTTAATGCCACTGTACAATGTAACACCCACTTTTCACTATTTATGTTATGAGTTCCACATCATAGGAAGTACGCCTATTGCCATATACTTGGCACAATTCCAGACTCTGTATTACAACTGAGATTTTTTTTAAAACCTAGTAATACTTCGCCCGACCCGGGAATCGAACCCGAGACACCTTGCCCAGTCGCACTTGCGACCACTCTGTCAACGACGCAATATAAATAAACGAATATATAATAATAACACGTTTTCATTCTAGGTTATTGTCAAAATCACTACTTTACAGTCTTACCTATAATTTGATATAGTCTTAAATAATAGATAAGTTAAACAATTATATAATATACAAGTAAGAGTGAGAATAAACACGTGTGGCTTAACAGTAGCTTGACTAATTAATAATTTACTTGAGCTGGTCGATAAACATGTACTGAAGTACCCTTGAATCTAAGACTTTGACTGAAGAAAACATTGATCGTTATTTGTATACGTACTTAAGTTCAAAGTAGTTTTTATTTTGTCTTGTACTAGTGACCCGCCTCGGCTTCGCACGGGTGCGATATGCATTTATTATACATATAAAGCTTCCTTAAGAATCAATCTGGTGATGTTTGTGCAATGGGCAGTTTCAGACTCCTGAGCTTAGAAAATCGCGTGTGCTGGAGTAAAAATTTAAAAACAAAAATGTCGACCTTATTTTTGGGCACAAACATAAAACATTTCACTTTGTATCCATAATTTTCAGCACTTCTACTCAAGCTTTTAGCACAAAAGTGTAATGCTTCAACATAAAGTAGCTTGAGTAATTATACCTCACTAAGAGGGTAACAGGAGGGTAAGAGGTCCCTCCCTAGAGGGTATTCACCCCGAAAAATACAGAAAGTTACCTAATAATGTTTTATTTTATTTGTGCAGACAGCAGCTTGTTAACCTACCCAAAACATAGCAAACACTTCAATAGAATTTCAACCTTACATTATAGTGTTAAGGTTAAATATCGAAGGAAAGAAATTCGCAATTTCGTATACCTTTATTTGCTGTGTACGATTTCTACAATACACATTATGGTTCCTTCATTTCCAAGTTGTAATGGCGACGTACGTAAGAAATTGATATGTTTTAATGGCGTCCCCTTTTCTAGGATAATATAAATATATTTAGGTCGTCAAGTGCTCTGTATATGGGGTAGAAGGGTCCCATTTTGGGATACAAACGAGAATGGCTGAGTGGAATCTGACATTGTTATTGCAGAGGTTATTGTGAAATACTGCTCGTGTTGCTGGTTTTGTGGCTATAAAAGAGGCAGTTCGACAGAAGGTTACACATTCATGGTTTTAAAATAAAATTACATCCCTAGTTGACTTCGTGACGCTCGTTATTCTAATCCTCCTCCTACTAATAATGCGAAAATCTGTATGTTTGTTTGTAACTCCTCACGTCAATACTACTGAATGGATCGAAATGAATTTAAAAAGAGTAACGAATGGAGTTTCTCGCTAGTTCTTTTCCATTCTAATCTACATTTTGGAATGAGCACCTAGCTTCACCTCGCTTCACTGACAGACTGACTGACAGTGACAGACTATTATTTATTATGTATATAATGACGTGTCAAAAGTACCAAATTATGGTTTAATTGAAATAAATGCTTTGACTTTGACTTTGAAATTTGGAACAGAGGTAGTTGAAGGTCTGTAATAAGGATACTCTTTATCCTATGGGAACGTGTCTATAATGCTTGTCGTGTTTGTTATCGAGCGTAGATTATGGGTCCCAGCGTGGTTTGAAAGTAGTCGTGTAGCCATGATGCATGCGAGTAAACCACATAACATAATCTTAATATATACGTATATAAATCTCGTGTCATAATGTTTGTCCTCAATGGACTCCTAAACCACTTAACCGATTATAATAAAATTCGCACACCATGTGCAGTTCGATCCAACTTGAGAGATAGGATAGTATAAATTTCAAATTATAGTCGCAATTTTAATTTATTGCTAATTATTTCCAAAAACAAATAATTGAAGCCGGGAAGGGCTGCTAGTTAATTTATAAGTCCCGCAATAGTTATTACAAAACTATACTTATTGTGTCGTGGTGGCCTAAGTGTGCCGTGGAGGTTTAAGCCCGCTTCTCATGCATGAGGGTGCAGGATCGAAACCTACTAATGTGACATTTTCCGAGTTATATGTACTTTCTAAAATTATCTAAACACCAAACAAACGGTGTGACGAAACCTAGGCTTATAATTTCTAATTATAAGTTTTTAATCGCCAACCCGCATTGAGTTAGCGTGGTGATTAATGCTCAAACCTTCTCCGTGTTAGAAGAGGCTTTGCTCAGCAGTGGGCATTATAGGCTGTTGATGATGATGATGATATAATGTGATGTATGATGATACTACCTCTATACTCATTAAAACAAAACTTAACTCATAGCATAAGCCGTGTTGGTTTAAAGAAGTTCTTGAGAATATTGTTATTTTTGTCACACAAGATTGTCCTCGTACTCCCTTGTATAGCTACCATCCACGTCCACTTACAAAGGGACATTCATTATTTTGTTTTTGAAATTTTCAGAGTGCCTCTTCCTCTCGGAGGGCTCGTTACAAAACTGTTGAGGGTCTCTTGCCCTCTTATTGACCTTCTACAAGCAAGGCAGCCAAATTTATAGATTTCCTTTGAGATTTAAGTTTTTTGTTATGTAGAAGTTTTTCAAATTCAAAACGTTTATTTCGAATATAGGTCAAGTGTACAGGTTACAGTCATCATCAACAGCTTATAAATGCCCACTGCTGAGCAAAGCCTCTTCTCAAATGGAGAAGGTTAGAGCATTAATCACCACGCTTGATCAATGCGGGTTGGCGATTTCAAACTTATAATTAGAAATTATAAGCCCAGGTTTCCTCACGATGATTTCCTTCACCGTTGGTCAGTGGTGTCTAAATAATCTTAGAAAGTACATATAAGTCGGAAAAAGTCACATTGGTACTTGCCGTTGGTAGGTTTCGAACCTGCACCCTCGTGCATGAAAAGCAGGCGTCTTCAACCTCCGAGCCACCACGACATTCACAGGTTACAGTAGTTGTTATAAAATAATTTAATCAGCTACATTCTGCTATTTAGCATGCAATGTTGTGAAAATTACAATTACTATTATTATTTTGGTATTAAATTGTTTGAATTAGCCATAACAAAATATAAATAGATGTCAAAAGTAGTTCAATCATGTCCAAGAAGATAAAACCAAGTCATAATTATAAAAAATAAAAAAAATAATAAATAATACCATTGAGTCCAGGTGTCCATGGGCGACGCCGATTGCTTACCATCAGGTGATCCGTCTGCTCGTTTACCGGATTATCCCATAAAAATAACTTATAGGAATGTCTTTCCTTACACTATCTGTTCGGAAAACGTATCATGTTTGCCAGTTAATGTCGCGAGGCTGTAACAATATTCGCTTGTTTAGTTTCTTAACATAATTACCTAATCTGTTTACACGTTTTGTGGGCGTCACCATAAACAATACTATGCTTGCCTACATATTACTGAACCGTTATGTTACTGTAAAAGTTTGTATATCAGTTTATTTTAGAATTTACCAGTAATTCTGTATTGTATAATATTTGTATTGTAACTTTCGTAAGACATACTAAATAAATTATTATGTTTTCGGCTTACTCACGTAATAATTTGACTCGACTAGTTTCAAGCCTCCATGGCTTGAAACTAGTCGAATGTCAGACTGTAAACCTTGCGGATGGACGTCCTACGCTGCGCTTGCCGGTACGTGGCCTCCACTCGAGAACTGCCCCAGCGGCCGTCGGTTCTCCGCGGTATGTGCCCTGCCCACTGCCACTTCAACTTGCTAATCCGCTGGGCTATGTTCGTTTTCTTTGGAACTTTTACCGTTTCTTAAACCATATCTTAGATTTTACTGGAAAATTTTGTAATATACTGTAATTCAGAGTTCTACTGAATTCAAGGTTTTACAGTACCAGTCACACTTAATTAAGGGATTGTATTATTTACTGTAATAACAGACTCGTAATAGAAATTTGCGGGATTGTATCTAACGAGATTGTTTACTTGTTTGTTGGTGTGTGTCTAGGGATTAAATTAACATGAAGTGATTGAAGAGTAACTTTCGTTTGAATGCCGGGTCAAGTAAAGTTTTGAAAGGACTACGATTTATGTAATCGGGTCTTTTGGATTTTTAGTTTGGTATTATTTATAATTATCAGCCGGAAAACAGCCACTGCTGAACAAAAGCCTCACCCTGTTTCCTTCACGTTGAATGACAACTCGCCTCTCGGATCCATTGAAAACTAGCGCCCATTGCATCCGTATTGCGTGGATGTTGAATAAACTGAATGGTATTGAGTTTGGCTTTATATTCCGTACTCTGAATGATATTCTAATAGCTACGATACCCCTATATATATAGTTTTGACATTGAATAATCATTGAGATTTTATTGAAATGAAATTGCATTGACATTGAAATTGGTTTCAAGAGTAAGCATTGTTACCCAGGTCATTGTCGGAAGCCTGTCTAGTGTCTACGCACTACACATAACAGATATAAAATAATACAAGTTTTTAATTTTCAAAACCATCACTATTAAAAAGATAGAACCCAAAAATAAATTTAAAAAACAAAAAACAGTGTTGTTAAAACACACCACTGTTATACAAAAAAGATATAAATTTTTATATACATTCTCGCAGTAACAAAAACAGTACATTTACATATTATTTTCTCTTATTTTAAACCTGCCGTAATTAATTCAGGAACAATACGAAAAGGTATTTGTTTGCGGGATTTAGTGGACTTTACTGTAGGTCCGAGTTTCGGGGTCTGGTTACAAAAACAGCTAAAATAATATACAATTCTTTATTTTATATTTCTATATCTATTAGGCCAGATTTTTATAGTATTGTTTTGTACTATAATGCTCTCTCGACTCACCCAGTATCCGAGGAGTCATTTTTTGAAATACAACTACAAAAAAATGTTAGCAATAATGTAAACAAACCGTTATCCGTTTAATGGTAAGCCGTCATTAATACCCGCAGTTTGGTTTATTATAGAGGTAATAACTATCATTAGACATACTAAATTAAATAAAAATCGCGGGTTACTCACGTGAAAAAACTGAAAAGAAAAAGCTCTACTAGTTTCGACCCACAGAGGGGCTCTTCCTTATGAGTAGCGTGCGCGGTCTGTGACTCGTAACTAGTAGAGCTTTTCTCAGTATTTCACGTGAGTAACCCGCGATGTTTAGTTAATGCAGCTTAGTTCTTCACACTCATAATATTTCTGGTATTGCCGATCTACATCTGCTGTACCTACTAAGGCTACGTGGTGAAATCTCCTAACCATCAGGCGCCCTATAAGATGTGACACCTCTAGTAACCTATTGTTACTATCATCATCATCAGCAGCAGCAAAAAGACATCCACTGCTGAACAAAAGCCTCGTCTTTAATCAATCGCGTCGAATGACTACTCGCCACCTGCATCCACTGGCTTCCCACGACTATGGTGATGTTACTATAGTACAAAAAAACTTAAGAACAGTCTTACTGTCGGTCAAGAGGTAACAATAGATAACAATAATACTTGATAGAGAAAAAAAGAACAACTTCCTTCCATAATAAATATCCAATTATGATATAAGAACAAGCAACAAAGGTTATTTTCATGCAGACGAAAACAAAAGATTTGCCCTTTTTCCTCATGACGTCCTCGAGTGCGACCTGCCAGAGGGCAGCTGTAATGAGGGTGTTGAAGCTTGAGGCCCTCTCCTGCTCAACAAGCTGAGTCCGCAACCATTGCATTATTTTATTATGAAATATAAGGTTAGAGGAAATATGTCTGAGCTGGGTTTAAAAATAATAAAATACGCTTTTGAGTCGTTGTCAAAAATTCGGATTGTCAGTGTGTGTGTCGTGGTAGCCCGAAGGTTTAAGACGTCCGCTTCTCATACATGAGGGTGAGGGTTCGAAACCTACCAACGGCAAGTACCAATGTGCCTTTTTTCGAGTTTTAAGTACTTTTCAAGATTATTTATAATATACTCTACTGACAAACGGTGAAGGAAAACATTGTAACGAAACCTGAGGTTATAATTTCTAATTATAAATTTGTAATCACCAACCCGCATTGAGCAAGCGTGGTGATAAATGCTCAAACCTTATCTGTGTGAGAAGAGGCCTTTGGTCAGCAGTGGGCATTTATAGGCTGTTGATGACGTATTTTAATGCAACTTTAATAATATCATAAAGGTCTAAACGCACTGGTACTTATATTACCTGGCACCAACTATTGCCACAGTTTTCGTGAGTAAGTTCGTATCTAGTGTAATAAATAATAAAACAACACAAAACTTAACCCCATCACGAAAGATGTGACCACAATTCGTGTTAAAAACCTACGTTATGTTTACACAATACTTTACAGAATTTCAATGTTATACAAAAACACAAAAATGTAGAGAAAATTTAAAAATACCGAAGATAAACGAGGTTCTATTCAAAAGTGTTCAAACAACGTAGTCGAACAAACAAATGTATGAAGGTATGAACAAACTGGTCAGACCGAACTTTGCTATCTTAAAGTTACGAATAGTAGGGAGGTATGTTTACGTTCAGAGAGTTACTGGACTAGCTTTAAATACTGGACGCTGGATAGCTAGAGAAAAACATTAAGTACCTTCTTAAAGTTAATGCGTTCATAAGTAATATGTAAAAGAATTGGCATAAGATTTTTTATTGTATGGGGAGAAATTCCCTAAAATTCCAAAAAATATGCCATACAAAATTCATTGAATGATTTCTCCCGCCTGAGTGAAGCAAAGCATTAAACTTATCATTTCAAAGTCCATCAAAGTTCATATTTAAACTTTAAATCGTATGTCGTATAGCAGTGCCGGAGCTTGTTAGGTGTGCCTTTAATCTGTACCAACTTCTTTATTTCTACCAACACACTTGAACACCAAATCCCACCCATTACTAACTCTACTCTCCCTACACACTTTCTTTAGTTCAAACGCATCACAAGCCGAACAAATGTACCTTCAGTTAAACTTTACATATTTGAGGTGGAATGTTATTGTACGTTCAATAATGCTCATATTTGTAAACTTCTGTTAGGTCAACCATTTCCATAACGATATTAGAATAATGCTACATGCGTTTGTTTGAAGAGAAATGTTGAATAAAGATTAATTTAATAGAAAGAGGATGTGTTTTGTTTGTTCGTATGGTGGCGGCGTGGAATACGTCATTTGTCATCACTTTTGCTCTCCCCGCGGGTCATTAGACCCAGCTAACGCTATGAACTCACGACGCGATTTTCACCCGCGCCTGCCACGGTGGCGGAATGGAGATTTGTATTCAAAACTCACAAGACTCCCAGTTTTCTGCGGTCTTACAGCACCGCGGTTGCAAATATCGCAAGACAAGCTGTTAAACAATCATTTGAGTTCCAGACCAGCCCTCCTATTGCGATCGAACGCCAAGCGATAGCAGAGCGCATGGGTGCAACCCGCCGCGACTGTGGCACCGCGGCCATGCTCACCTGTGCAGCGGGAGCCGCAAACAATCACAATCGCAACCGCTGCGGGCGTTAAAGGCGCCGTCAAATGTTGTGGCTTTAATTTTTTACATACATGTCTGTATTCTTCAAAGGCTGCGGGTCCGCAACTGTGACAGGCCTTAGAGAGAATAGCTTCGTGAGTCCTTAGCCTAAGAGAATATACATTTGACAGAGCCTGGACAGCAGCCGCCGATCTCTTTCTCTGATAAACCTGAACATTACAAACTGCAATCTAACCTGTCAATTATGCAGACTATTGCAAACGTACAGATATGTATGTAGATTAATACCATAATATAGCAGTGGCCTGCCATGGACAGTTCACAATCTTTATGTGCTGAAACGAAACATAATTTGGGGATATATCGAAGTAATAGCTGTGCCCGCGACTTCGTTCGCGTGGAATAGTGATTTACTGTGCATACCCTGTAGGTAATAGCGTAATAATATGTAGCCTATATGTTGACCCGACCTGTTAGTAATAATCATACAAAATTTGTAAATCCATGCAGTACTTTTTGAAATCATCCCGGACATACACACAGACAAACAGACTATCTTAAAAAAAATATTCAATGTACAGTTTTGACATTTCTACGATTTTATTATATGTACCTACAGATATAAAAAGACAAGATAAAGTTGCAAGGTAGGTAATCTGTAATGTTCCCGTCCATTATATTGCAGAAAAATTTGCGCATTTAGAAGAACTTATGTGTATAAAAAAAAACAATCAGCCGAACATAGTACCTCCTCCTTTTTTTGAAGTCGGTAAAAACACACTAACAACATTATAACAAATTATACGCAAGTCTAATTCTTATCTATCTAGTAGTAGTAGTTAGTCTAAGTCTA